TTTCGGCCGTGGTCGAGGAGCGGTTTCTCCCCGCTTCGCTTGGACGGATCTCCGAACAGGGCTTGTAGGGGTTGTTGGCTTGTGAGTCGGTGTCGCAAGGGAGTTCGCTGGCTTTGTTGCAGTGTTGGAGGTCGACAAAGGAGGATAGCAGATTGGTTTAGAAGGGCAGCGGAGCGTCCGAAGCAGGCTCTGAATCCTTGTTTTGTGAGGTTTTTCCAAGTCGCATGGAGCAAGTAGTGAACCAATATACACAAATGCAGAATCGGTGAAGACGAGGATGAACTGGATCTAGATAAGAGCGTATATGGCGATGCCCTGGTGGTGGAGGTGCGACTGACTTACCCGGTGGTGGGGGTTCTGCTGACTGATGGGAAAATCAAATTTCCTGTGCTCAGAGATCTGATGGCTTCATTGTGGAGACCGGGGAAAGGTATCGACATCAAAGAAATCAACGATAAGAGGTATATTTTTAATTTTTATCACCTCGTTGATATGAAATGTGTGATTAATGGTGGTCTATGGCGGTTTGAGAGAAATTTATTAGTGTTGAAAGTTCTTGGTCCACATGATATTCCACATAAAATCTGACTGAATGAGGCTCAGTTATGGGTGCAAGTGCATAATGTCCCTTATAGTCTGATGAACTCGGGAACAACAAGAAGGGTGGGTAATTTTCTTGGAAAATTTATTAAATATGATGATAAACAATTTGGAGAAAAATGGAAATCTTATTTGCGGGTTAAGGCATGTATGAATGTGGAAAAGCCCTTGAAAAAGGGCACTACTCTGAAGAAAGATGGCATCGAAATCTTATTGGGTGGATTTTAAGTATTAGAGGCTGCCGAATTTCTGCTTTGTCTGCGGAATTATTGGTCATTCTGACAGATTTTGTCCATTGGCGTATGAAGAAGACTTAATGCTGGAAAAAAGTTTTGGTGTACATCTTAGAGCAGGCAGCGGGGTGAAGACTAGCCCAACAGGAGGTAGGAAGTGGTTGGTGGACAGGTCTTCTAGCTCGAGCCAAGGCCCTATTGTTGAGGAAGACAACCAATCAAACGGAGGGGCAGAAGGAGGAAAGGATCTCACAGTGGGTTCCGATAGCAGTTCAGCGAAAGATGGGATTTTGGGGGTTAACGAGGAGGCAACGGGAGAACAAAAACGCAGACGCATTTGGGAGGCTGGTGAAAGAGAAAACTAGGTGGGATAGCATGGCTCTAGATGGGATAAAGAATGGGGAGGAGGCAGGCTTAGATGGTTAAGCCCGCCATCGTCAATGATGCATGGATCTACACCCGGGATACGGCTTTTTGGCAATTTTTGAAGAATTAACGAAGACCTTTATTTTTATGTTTTTGTTTATTTTAGTGGATGGTTTATGCCAGTTTATGTTTGGTTTTTTTATGTCGGTTGTAAGATGATGTTTTTATCTTTGGATGTGGGTGATGATTTGACCGTGTTGACCGTCTTTGGCTCACTTGTGTCCATTAATGAATCAGCGAGTTATATTGATGCGGCGATTAACTCTGAGTCTGGTTCGAGGGACGGCGATTTTCTGGAGTCTTGTTGTCGATTTACCTACTATATGAATGATGTGTTATCAATATAAGCCCATTTCTGTCAACAACAAAAAAAGTAAACAGTATTGCTACAATACCAAAAAGTCTCTTTTAAAAAAATTATATGAACCTAAAATTATCTTAAACTACGCAAAAAGCTTAATGAACCACCTTTTTTTATGCATAGGTAGTAATATAAGACAAGTCCAATTGTCTAATTTTTTATCTACTGAATCCTTTGTATTTAATTCAGCGCAAATTATACCATGGGATCGGCCCACCATGCTCATGGTGTGCCGATCCCAAAACGGTGCAGTTTTATACTCTATTAAAAACTTCCGGTCATCACTCTTTCCTCGTGTATGTCGCCGATTTCTGGAAAGCTCTCCGCCACCTCCAATATCTTTTGCCAACATGAATCGACTATTTCTACCCGGACTGTAGGAGCTTTGTTGTCATTCATAAAGCTAGAGACATAATTTGGTCTCGCAAGCTGCAATTTTGCAGGTAAGGGCCGGCTGTTGGCTGATGAGCTCGCCCACTTGTTTAACCAGTAAGACGTTTTGGAGTGTGTGGAAGCTATTAAAGGATTTTTCTTAATTGTTTAAATGATGAAGAAATTAAATGGTTCAAACTATCATTGATCGCCTTACTTTATACGAAGTACATCAGATCATTTACATTTTGACTTAGATTCAAGTTACATTTCGTTTCAGCACGATTTACATTTTTTTACATGTGAGTTACATCATTTTATGTACGAGTTACATCAATGTAAGTGAAGTTACATTTATCTTATACACGAGTTGCATTTGGACTTGCATTAGCAAATTACATTTTGCATACACGTAAGTTACACTTTCTATCAACACAAGTTACATTTAGCCTAACACGAGTTACATCACAAATAACCTCTGCTAGTGAAACAACAAAAAAAGTTTTTTTTTTCAAATAATTTTTATGTCTTTGATATTAAAAACAAAACATATTCACTATTTATGTAAAGTAATCGAGCAATTAGACTCTTTTTTTCATTGTTAACATTGAAATCAATGTTTTTATTTCTTATACTATGTATTTGACAAGTTACATTTCGACTGGACTTGAGTTACATCGATCAATAACGTAAGTTACATTAATTTACACGCGAGTTACATCATTCTTGTTACTGGGACAAAAAAACAGTTATTGTTCACCCGTTATTGTTCACGCGTTACTGCTCACGCGATTTTTTTTAATTGTGTGAAACTACGTCGTTTTGAGTGTGGGAGCACGGTGCTCAGCGTGGGGTGATATCACGGTATACGAACTAGGGGTGGGCATGGGTCGGGACGGTTCGGGATTAGGGTTATCCCAGTCCCGTCCCAATTAATAATAGCGGGACGGTACGGTACGGGAGAAACCTTTGTCCTAGTATTGTCCCATTTAAATCGGGACGGGGATGATTCGGAACGGTTCGGGACGGTTCGAGACGTCCCAAACAAACAAAAAATAATCATTTACAATTAATATATATTTGCATTTCTAAAGTATCATGCAGCAAAAAATTAACATTTTAAAAGTTAATTGATGTTCATCACAAGCTAAAAGCTACTACGTATTAGATTTTAGTTAGGTTTAGCAAAATTTTGAAATTAAAATTTAAAACAAAGCAAAAATGAATTAGTTTATTCAAAATCATGTGTTCTAGTTGTGAGATACTCATATGTAGATATATAAAGTGAGATAAAAACCTATGTTAGTAAATATTTATGTTAGGTATTATTTTTAATTTAAAAATTGGGCTTGAAAAACTAAAAACATGTTATCATTTATTTTTTGAGTTGACATTACAAACTAGTCACATGCTACAAAATCTATATAGTTATTACAAACGGGACAACGAGACGGTTCGGGATAACCTTCCAATGTCCCGGTCCCGTCCCGTTTTAAACCGGTACGGGACCGGTGCGGGACAAAATCAATGAGACCCAAACGGAACGGGACAACACCGGTACGGTTTCGGGATATACCGGAATGGGACAACGGGACCGGGATTCTTGCCCGCCCCTAATACGAACTGTTAATCAGTTTGATTTAGTTCGAGACCTAATTAAATTCAAATGACTGTCCTTATTAACCACCCCTTAACTGTATCATTTAAAACTTTCCAAGTTTTATCGGCACGAAAAAAAGTATCAAATACAGAGCACTTTGTATGAGAGAAAACGTAAATATAAGTCATTTTAAATATTTATTTCTTTATGTGAATATATATTGGTCTCATAATTTTGTTGGTTTACTACTAGAAAATAAAATAACCTAAAATGTTATACATGCCCAAATGTTTAAATTAATAAAAAAAAATGATAGTTAACTACATTTTTTATGTATCATTCACTTGTTCAATGTTAAAAAGTTAATTAATTTTTAAATGTCTAATAAATGTAAATCATACCTGAGATCGTGAATCAATGAATGTAGCTTTCTTTTTTGATAATGTGAATGTAGTTAGCATGTAGGGAAATTATATTTCTCTAATCTTATTCACACTCTAATATTATTAATGTATGGGGAATTTCTTTTAAATAGAACTAAAAATATTTATGCATTAAAAAATAGAAATGATGGAGTTTAATCCAACTACGAGAGTTATATCTACGGGAGCAGATGAAATTTAGGCAGCGTAAGACAGTATTATTATTCCGGAATTCGGATCCTTGGTAGGATATGTACATGAAGTATTTATTGAACTTCGGTTCTAGTATTCTAGGAGGAAACTGATACATTAAATGTTATTAATTGAAATAGTCTTGTAACGTCTCGAACGTTGTGCAATGATCGTTTCCTTCATGTCCACGTCCCTTCCGTTATTTCCTGCCGCTACCAGATAGCTATGCTTGAATGATAGCCAGCCACATAAGCCCTAAGAAGAGTCCGACCTCACTAGAACTCCGTTCAGGCTTGAGGTCTGTTGTCCAGCCCGACCTGGTTGTGAGTTCCTTTCGTGAGTCTGATTCCTAATTAGGCCTCACGGCTATTGTTTATTAATCGCGTTTAATGGGCTGATCCCGTTAATGGGCTGATCCCGTTGATCCGCTCTATTCTATTTCAGTCTTGGGCCATCGTTATAATCCATGGTACCATCAAGAAATATTAAAATATTTTTTTATTCTCTAAATATTAGTAATTATTGACATGTCACTTTTGCCGTATTCATAGTTTAGGTATGAGAATATTTTTGAAACTAGATACGGAGTAATAATTAATTCAATGTAGAAATTAAAAAATACTTCATCCGTCCCATAAAACTTGTCAAATTTCTTTTTTCCAAAAATTTTGTCATTTCAAATTTTCAATTTAAAGTAAGGAATATACTGTTAAAGTTATTTGTCTCTTGCACCAATTTTAATCGCACCATTTTTACTTTGTGGGAGAGAGTAATAGAATGTCATGATTGATTCCCATTTATTGAAATTTTCCCATTTATTACTACAATGTCTGACAAAAGTGTTGCTTCATCAAAACCTAAGTTGTGATAAATGAAAGCCATAAAACACCGGTGTTTCCATTAAAGAAGCTCTAAATAAAGAAACCAGTCAAAACTTTAATTGATTAAAGAAGCTCCAAATCTTTTTATTAATTAGAATACATGGAAACAGGAAATACTGTAAATTTGCGGTAATTGTAAGATGCAGAAGCAATATCCTTCGTTTTTCAAGATCTTAATTGGCGATTTTGCCTCTGCTCTGGTAAGTTCTCAAATTCTCCGATGTACACAATCGATTCCGATGGCAGTGTCACTGTTATTGCCGTGAATGAATGTGTCTAATTTGCCGTTACTTGCAGCGTTTACCGCCGCTCTTTGTGGAGATTTTTGGGGAAAAGCTCTCGCCGACACTGTCACTCGTAGCGAACGCCGCCGCGGCGTCGGAGAAAAAATGGGCCGTAAAGCTTAAGAAGAGCGGCGAGCATTCCCTGTTTGGGGATGGATGGGATAAGTTTGTGAAGGATAACGATTTGGCGGCTGGGGATTTCGCAGTATTCTGGCTGATGGATAACTACTCTACTTTCCAAGTTCGACTCTACGACTACACTTGCTGCGAAAAGCAACTATCATCTTCCCGATTCTCCCCTGGTATATACCTACAACCTACTCTGTGAGCAAATTCTACAAGTTTGAATCATTTTAATAAATTTAAATCATAGGAGTATGATAGATTTTTTAATTAGATTATCTTTTTTTTTACATAATTAATCTTCTTTTTTTCATAAATAAAGTCTTTTTTTCTTAGATGTGCATCGTGTTACTGGATGGTTGTGACTTGTGACTTGTGATTGCTTTTCCTTTAAAAAATGACTTTTTAAAGTGATTTAGAATAAAGTGTTTTTTTGGACAGAAATTTAATCTGGTCTGAACTGGTCTGGTAAACTTCCGGTCTCTGTGTATTTTATAACTACAGAAGTCTTGTCTGATCTGGTCTGGTCTGGTACTAAAAACAGTCAAAAAAATATGTGTTTTTTGTGTAATAAAAAGGTAAATAACAGTTTTTGCAGCTTTTATCTTTTATTTTCTAAGTGTTATATTAAAGCAGAAGTTGTCACCTAAAAACACTTATTTCAGCTTTTAAACCAAAAGCTGAAAATAACTTTTTTTAATTGTTTGCAAACATACCCTAAGAAGTTGTTCTCTTCACCTGATCTGAATCTTTCTGATCTGAACTTTTTAAGTTTTGATCTGATCTGATCTGAATTTTTCTGATCAGATCTGATCTGATCTGAATTTTTCTGATTTGATCTGATCTGAATCTTCCTGATCTGATCTGAATCTTCCTGATCTGATCTGAACCTTTCTGATCTGGTCTGATCTGATCTGAATGTTTCTGATCTGATTTGAATCCTTCTGATCTGATCTGAATTTTTCTGATCTGATTTGAATATTTTTATAATTATAATTATAATTATTATAATTACAATTGTAATTATAAATATAATTTAATTAAAGTTGTAAATATAATATAATTATAAAAATTTAATAATAATAATAATAATAATAATTATAATTATAATAATTATACTTATTACACTAATTATAACTATAGATACAATTACAATTGTAACAATATTTTTAATTATAATTACTTATATAAATATAATTATAATTAATATGTTAATAATAATTACAAGACAATAATGATAATATTAATAATAATTATATTAACAATTATAAATATAATTATAATTGTAGTTATATTTATAAATATAATTATAATAATAATAATAATAATAATAATAATAATAATATAATAAAAGTAATATAACCAAAAATAATAAGATAATACAAGAATATAATAATAATGATGATAATAATAATAGTTATTTCAAAAAAAAAATATAATAATAATAGAAAATTTATTATTATTATTATTATTATTATTATTATTATTATTATATTATAATAATAATATTATTTATATTATTATTATTATTATAATATTATTATTCTAATAATAATAATGTGAGTATTTTATTATTATTGTTTATATATTATTATTATTTGGAAAAAATATTATTATTAGTATTAATTATAATATAATAATAATAACTATTATTATTATAATTAATATAATAATAAAAGTGATAAATCATTTTTGAATTTTTTTGATCTGATCTGATCTGATCTGAATGTTTCTGATCGTCTGGTCTGATCTGAATCTTTCTGATTTGATCTGAATGCTCCTGATCTGAATCTTGCTGATCTGATCTGAATTTTTCTGATATGATCTAATCTGAATAAAATAAGAATAAGCAATAAGTAATAAGAATAAGACGAAGAGAACAGCTTCTAAATTTACTTCCAAGAGAGGATCAGATTACTCTTGGTATAACCGGACTGAATAGGTTGGACCAACTTTGAATTTTTAATATAAAGAATTTCTTTTTAAAAGTTTACTTTGCTAGCTAATTAATTTTTACATATAAAGTTTTGTATTCTATAAGTTTTTAAATAAATTTAAATTAAAGCTAATACTTAATACGTAGTATTTGTTAATACATTTTAGGTAAATTACATATTTAAACATAATTATATGGTGTTATTAGGGTCTAATCGTTTATGAGCTTATTATTTGGGTTTTGGCCGGAAGTAGTAACTTCAATTGTCTTGAATATAATTGAAAACTTTATGGCTATGTAACCTGTTCGGGTTGAATCTGAATCAATCACTCTAGAGCTAACTTTGCTCAGTCCTGCTACTTAGAAGAATGTTAAACTGTTCAACTCATACCATAAATTAGCAGGTGGAAGATCAACTAATCTTGATCGCAATGTAAGGATGAAGAAAGGAGAGGAGACGGATGAGTCTACTAAGTCAGTAGGCACTTCGAAGCGGAGTAACAATCCAAGTTTCGTAGTTGCCCTGCCACCCCGCGATAAGAAAATGGTATGTATCTTTCGCTTGAGCGGCTACAACTCCATGCCTTTTAGATTATCTCATTATCCATGTCTCTTTTGTAATTTTATTTTAAGCAAGGTGCATTACACTGTTGAGGCTCTCCTAGAACCGGCCGAACCATCTGCTGGGGTATTAAACTAAGTGAATCACAGTCTGGTCGATAGAGTTTGAAGTATGTATCTAGTACTTACAGAGTTACAGACACCACTTGCTGAGCAAAGTTGCCCATAACGTAATTATCAGGAATTCAAACCGAGTCTACCCTTATTATAAGGATTGTGTTCCTGTGGAACATGTGTTTACAGACCATTTTCGAAGTACAGTAAATTTAAAAATTATTTTCTGTAGTAAAGCAAACTCAAATCTTCCCGAACTTAACTTTTGGAGTGGCCGCTCTAGAAAATTTGTCTGATGTGTTGGATTTAAAAGAAAATTTGTTGAACTAGTTAATTGTTTGAGTATAATAACATTTTAATGTTGTGTCATTCAAAAAATCATTTTAATGTCGTTTAACCATATATGTCAACACAATTCTTAATTCTTAATTCTTAATTCTGTGATGATATCAATGTCCAATCTCTAATTTTAGTAGCCAGTGGTCTGTGAGTCTTTAACGTGGTTGTTTGTTTGTCTGGAGTCTGAACTCTAGACTCTGGACAAAATGAGTACTTTGTTGCTGCTGTATTTAGAGCTTTACTGTCAAGTGTTAGAGTAGCTTCATTAGAATATTAGAAAGACTAATGAGCATAATATACTTGGACCTTGGTTGAAATAGCTCAGAGGTAGGATTCAATTTTTTACAGAGTGATACATGATATATACAGAGTATTGTACTCCGTAACTAATATTTTAAATGCGACACACATGTATGTGTAAATTTTTACTTCACTATAAAATATAACTGTAGTCGTGTATGAAAACTGCACAACACTAAAACATGCTTCCCAGCTGTTTCATTTCTCTTCTTCTCTTGAACATATGTACAGATCATACCAAAAGGATTCGTTGAAAAAATGGGAATTGCGGGGGAGGGATGCATCCTGCTTGAGAATGCGCGAGGAAGGCGTTGGGAGATCCAAATACGCAATCAAGGTGGTGAATTTGCAATGTATGGCGGGGAATGGGAAGATTTCCGAAAAGCCAACAGGCTGGGTAAGGGATATCTTTGTTCATTTGAACTGGTAAGGAGGTATGGTGATCAATTTCTTCAATTTCATTTGGAGAAAAAAGCGAGAGGAAGACCGGAGGGGAAGACCACAAGGGACTGTTAGAAAAAGAGATTTCGAGTAGACAATACAAGCTGCTGCATTTACCTTCGATGTTGCTAACTCTGGAGTAATTATGTTGTATGATTAGCTTAACATTAACCATCTATGGAATGACTATCAAATAATGTGGTGTTTGAGTGTGCTGTGTGATGCTTTGCAACAGTTTTACACAGGGTATTCAATTCTGAAATACCATTTATAAATTTTAACACTCCCTTTATTTCAAGGTTTAGGCTCTGTTCGGCAAGCGCCGCAAGCCTATTCAGCTAAAAAAAGGCTGAATTGTTTAAATGCAGCCAATTAAATATAAAGTAGACATGTTCGGTTGAGCAGCTGAAGCCAGCTTAATGTCACGGGCATAGAGTCTGGCGCAGCGCACAGCGCCCGTGCGGCGTCCTGGGGTCCCTCACCCCGCGGACAAGCCTTGCTCTCATACGGAACCGGATTGGTTTCGCCTTGCCTTGGGCTCATCAGGGGAACTCCCTTTGACGCTATTACCTCCCCCATGCCTCGCCCATCTAGCTAGTCAGTCGGTCTGTCCCCTTCATTGAGCCTAACACGGTCACGAACAACGATCCGTGACACTCTCCCCCACTCAAACTCTAGCACGCCCTCGTGCTAGGGGAGATGACTCTGCCCAGGGACCGCCATGCTTAATATTGTCAACGCGCCGCATCACCAGGGCCGCCTCACTCTCAAGCAGCCCGGCCGCGCTGGTGGCCACCCGAGTCCCCATTCTTTCAGGAACTCATCCGCCCCTGCGGACCATCAGGAGTGGAGCAGTCATCAGCACGTACCAGCCCTAGAGCCACCATGCTCGCTGCTCGCATAGTCCTCGCCCCTCATGAGGACCCCACCACAACACGCGACAATATAAGCACGACCCGCTCTGATACCACTTGTCACGGGCATAGAGTCTGGCGTAGCGCACAGCGCCCGTGCGGCGTCCCGGGGTCCCTCACCCCGCGGACAAGCCTTGCTCTCATACAGAACCGGACTGGTTTCGCCCTGCCTTGGGCTCATCAGGGGAACGACAATAGCTCCCGACCAGTTGTGCCTTCAAATCCGCCTCCGTCTCCTTCATAGTCAAGCCCTACATACCCAACTCGGTCAGACCTTAGCGTCTAAGGCAAAACTCCCCTTGACGTTATTGCCTCCCCCATGCCTCGCCCATCTAGCTAACCAGTCGGTCCGTCCCCTTCATTGAACCTAACACGGTCACGAACAACGATCTGTGACACTCTCCCCCACTCAAACTCTAGCACGCCCTCGTGCTAGGGGAGATGACTCTGCCCAGGGACCGCCATGCTTAATATTGTCAACGCGCCGCATCACCAGGGCTGCCTCACTCTCAAGCAACCCGGCCGCGCTGGTGGCCACCCGAGTCCCCATTCTTTCAGGAACTCATCCGCCCCTGCGGACCATCAGGAGTGGAGCAGTCATCAGCACGTACCAGCCCTAGAGCCACCATGCTCGCATAGTCCTCGTCCCTCATGAGGACCCCACCACAACACGCGATAATATAAGCACGACCCGCTCTGATACCACTTGTCACGGGCATAGAGTCTGGCGCAGCGCACAGCGCCCGTGCGGCGTCCCGGGGTCCCTCACCCCGCGAACAAGCCTTGCTCTCATACGGAACCGGACTGGTTTCGCCCTGCCTTGGGCTCATCAGGGGAAGGGCGATAGCTCCCGACCAGTTGTGCCTTCAAATCCGCCTCCGTCTCCTTCATAGTCAAGCCCTACATGCCCAATTCGGCCAGACCTTAGCGTCTAAGGCAGAACTCCCATTGACGCTATTGCCTCCCCCATGCCTCGCCCATCTAGCTAGCCAGTCGGTCTGTCCCCTTCATTGAGCCTAACACGGTCACGAACAACGGTCTGTGACATTAAGCTGGAAAAAAAGGACTGAGAGAAACGTTTCCATCACCAACGTTTGTAATAAGTCTTCTGATTCCAGACTTCAGATTTCAAGTATATCCCTCACTATCGATTCCAGATTTCACGTTTATCCTTTCTTTTTGTTTATTTAATTTCTTTTGTGCATAGTAATATAGTACGGAGTGTGAATTAATACGTAGTAATTAATATGAAACATTAGATCGAGGATCAGAGTATTCTTTTGTTTCATTTATGTAATTTAATGGTAAATTTTGTATATTATATTATATTATATTATATTATATTATATTATATTATATTATATTATATTATATTATATTATATTATATTATATTATATTATATTATATTATATTATATTATATTATATTATATTATATTATATTATATTATATTATATTATATTATATTATATTATATTATATTATATTATATTATATTATATTATATTATATTATATTATATTATATTATATTATATTATATTATATTATATTATATTATATTATATTATCACTACACTTGTTCAGCTCTTTTTGCCAAACGGATATACTCCATTCAGCTAGTAATTCAGATTCAACACTTTCAAGTTCAGTTCCATACAATACAATTTGTTTAAGACAATAGACCTTATTTCAGACATTAGCCCCCAGTTCCAACTTGTTGTGCCAAACATAGCCTTAGTCGTTTAGATTCAGGGGCTTCACATTTTTATCAAAATATTGAAATGATGTGATTCATATTTAGTAAAACAATGAAATAATATCAACCAAACCATACTTTCTTATCTTATTTTAAGGTTTGATTAATGAGAAAATAATTTCTCACTATCAAAATTGTATGTAAAATTATACTCTGTATTAGAAGTTGAGAAAAAATACATTACTCCACAAATTTAGGTTAGGTGTTTTTTTTTTTGAAGAAATACATTACTCCACAAATTTAGGTTAGGTTGAATTACAAAAACTTAATTTAAATCTATACCGGAAATTTGATATACAAAACTAGAGATTAAAAGTGAATTTTTCTTGACTAATAAAACACTACGTATTAAATTGAGACAATTAACTTAAGACAGAAATAGTATGTATTATTTGTTTGAAATCATTTTTATTCCAAATTAGCATTTTTTTGGTTTAGTGTATGGATGGTTAGAGCAACTCCAATGCTAGGAGTGGATTACTGCTTGTGACAATAAAATGGAAAAAGTATATTTAACATGTGGGCCAATTATTTAACAAATGAGAGGGTCTATACAAATGGGTCTCCAATGCAAACAAAAAAACTCCAAACTCCTCCACCTCTGTAAAAGGAGAACTGAAACAAGAAAGAGAGCCAACCAACAGGGTGAGACCGAGGGTCTATATATAGACCTCGTGCAAGACCTTTGTCTATTTTCTTATTGCCAAGTCAGCTTGACTAGGCCCATATCTTTTTGCATTGGAAACTAGATTTTGAAATAGAGAGTCCATTAACTTATGTGGAATGCATTCTAAAGGAGTGTTTGCGATTGTTTGTACTTTTTAAAAGTGATTTTTTAATAGATTATTGGAAAAGTGATTTGTAGTAAAAGTTGGTAGTGTTTGGGAATAGAAGTGATTTTAATAAAAATGTAAAACTTGGAGTGTTTGATAAAAAGGTGTTTTTTTGTGTAATATATTGTCAAAATACAAAAATACCCTTATTTAATTTTCAAACATCAATTCGAATATGGGGTAGGGGCTTCGTTTCAGACTTTCAGACCCCCAATTGGAAGCTCGTTTTAGAGAGGGCGGCGCGACTAACAGCGATTCACCCCCAACAGCAGGTTTTGTACTGAGGCCATCAAATCTGTTGCCAAAAGATCCTAGCGGCCTCCATTAACAAAGGGGCCGTTTGTTTGTTGGCAGATGGCAGCCAACCCGCTACAAAACGTAGTGTTTTCTTTGTAAAATAATTGGCGGTTTGGGGCAATCCGCTGGTTTCCAAACGGAGCCAAAGTGGACGGGATAGGGCTGATTTTTAGCATATTAAAGGTTCTCTCCTTCTTGGACTGATTTTGCTTTTTTTGGATGGAATGTAAATATATATTAACGCCCAAGAAAACTATACGTCAAGTATCCTAGATCTCCTAACCCCCCCCCCCCCCCCCACACACACATAAGGTAGGGATGAAAGGAGGTTTTTATTCGATCTAATCTACGCCAAAAGGACCAAGTATGAATACTTGTCCCATCAAAATTCAAAAATATACATCAATGCTGCACATGCACTCACACAGATCATAAGGTTCAAATCATATAACAAAATACAAAGGTATTGCAAGTTGCACACACCCTAAGTCCAAAATACTGCTCCATGCCGCGTAATCCAAGATGTCTATGCCGCAGTATCTCATGTGCCCAAGCCGCGACATCCAATAGGTCCATGCCACGGCATCCAGAAAATCCATGTCGCAGTGACGCAGTGTACAGTGTGACCATACCGCGGTATACATATCGTGGCCTCCCACTTGATTTTGGCCCACTCAAAAGTTTATCAATTCATATGGATAGATACTATAGAGTATCTTATAGACGATATGCTTAATCTTGGCTATAACGTCCTCCTCAGTCTTCTTGCCATCATCAAAGCGGATCTCATTTCTTGCATGCCATATGTAATACACCACGGCGCATAGAGCAATTCGGGCCGCCTTTGCTTTCAACGTTGATCCTTTGTGCTTCTTCGAAATCCATTTGATTGAGCTAAGCAATGTAGACATTTGATGCCCAAATCCCATCCATTCTCGAATCTTGCCCCATACCCTACAAGTAAATGGACATAGGAAGAATAGGTGTGGAATTGATTCCAATCCACCCTTACACAAGTCACATCTATTAACCATATCGAGATAACCGAGGCTATCTTGGGTAGGCAACCGGTTCCTCAAAGCCAACCAAACATTAAATGAAAATTTCGGGGGGATATAAGATTTCCAAATGAAACTCATCGGAGTCCTAGGGATCCCTTTAACTCTTAGAAGCTCGTAAACCTTGGCGGAGGCAAGTTTGCCATTAATGCTTCTAGAGTTAAGGCCCAAAATCGTATCATTCAAATTATTAAAGCATCGACAAGTTTTATCTCTAATTTGCCCCAACCTCTTGGACTGATTTTGCTTGTTGAGGGTCGGTGGCGGAGGACGGGAGTCTACTGTTGTGGTGGGGAACTAGCGATGGAAGAGCTCGGCGGTGGAAGAGCTCGACGGTGCAAGAGCTCGGCGGTAGAAGAGCTCGACGGTGCAAGAGCTGGCGGTGCAAGAGCTGGATGGAGAAATCAGATTGGGGAAATGGAGAAGCCTGGAGAAGAAAGATGATTGGGGGAAAAGTTTTGTCAGGAGGGTAATTTAGGATATAGCATTAATTTTAGGGATAAAATTTATCCTCAAACTTGGAAATATTTACCAAATAACCTAGAAGCAAGTAAAAGCACCCCCAGAGCAGCTTCTCATTTATGACTTAAAAGTGCTTAAAATAAGCAAAATTTCTCATTTGCAAACACCATTTTTAGCTTTTTTCTGGAAAAAAAAAAAGCCAAAAGTGTTTTTTTAAAGCATTAGCAAACACAGCTAAGAGCAATCCATCTCCACATTGGAGATGCTCTTAGTTCGCTAGTTTGGTACAAGTTGCTAAAAAGTTGCTGAGGAAGTTGTGTTTGATACAATGGATGTTTTCTTTTGGACTGTTTTCAGTCCCAGACCAAACTTAAACAGACCAGACCAGACTTCATAGTTATAAAATACACAGAGACCAGACGTTTACCAGACCAGACCAGTTCAGACCAGACTTAAACAGACCAGACTTAAACAGACCAGACTACACCAGACCAAAAAAATTCAGTCCAAAAGAAAACATCCAAACTAGCATTTCACAGATAGCTTCTTTTAAAATAATTGTAACCAATTCTGTCAACAAATCAAATTTTCCACGACATATTTTCTCAGCCATATTTAACAAAAGTGAAATAAACAGAATTCTTATGCATAAAATCATCAGTTTATCACAGCACTTTCACTAAACAGAGTCGGCCAGTGGAAAGTGTAAACTATAAACCAATGTCGTATTGCTTAGTTATAAACTCAGCACTTTCAAGAATACTCTCAAAGCAATAAATCATTATCTCCAGCATTCAACCTGCACAGATACATAAATCTACACAATGCAACTAAAGCTTGTAGTACATTTCAAATTTTCCTACAGAAGAACAGGGGGTCTAAATCATTGTTCAAAAAGGGCTAGGCTTTGGCAGACTGGAACCTACTGCCTAACGGGGCCAGGACATGGAACGGCATGAGTTTGACAGCCTACCACCCGGAAACAACATGGCTGAGTCTCATGTTCATTACAATCCCTAAAGACATGCATTTCCATTCACTCAATCCTCTTCCCTTCCCTTTTCATGTAAACCATCTAAGCGTGTGTATTTATATATAGATATGTATGTACAGCATGCATCCTTAATGCGAGATGGAACTTGCATCGGTGCTATAAAATGAGTACTCACTCAAGCTGAAATTGGGCCTCTCTTCATCCCACTTCACTATCTCCCTCGCATACTTTAGCGATTCGTCAACACTCTTTGGGTCCAAACCTCTAACCATAGAAACATACAATTTTTTGTCAGTTAGAGCTGAGAACAGCCTCTTAAATTTGACAGCAATATAGTGGAATGCAAGATGGCCCAAGGACGGGTTATGGTTGATGTTGTTGCTACTGTTGTGGGAGGAGCGATGGAGGCTGACCACAGGACGGAAATCATCAAACCATTCACATTCGGTCAACGGTACGCGTTCTACCTTGTCCTCAAACAGGTCAAACTTATTTAGGAGCAATAGGAAGTCCATCTGATCAAATGTTGGGTGAGTGACGATGCTCTCGAAGAACCTTTTGCTCAACACCATTTTGTTGACTAACTCGCCCGTCTCAGCCACACGGTACTGATCATAGTCGCTCAAGGACACGCAGAAAATGACAATCCGCACATCCTCGAACATCTCAATCCACTTGCAGTTTTCTCCAAACCCCTTTGCCTGTACTCTAATCAGCTGATATCTGAGTGAAAGAAAAAGTATAATGTAATTAGAGAAGAGATGGGAGGAAAGTTATTTATGAATGCCACTACAAGATCCACAAAAGTTCATAGGTTTTCATCTATAGAGTGTAGCCCATAACTAAGGGGTAGTCTGGTAGGGGAAATTTAGCTGAAATAGATGAAGTTAAGACCCCATTTAATGATAGCTGAAATGGCTGAATAGGCGGAATTAAAAGTTGAAATAATTACATAAACATGACCAAAATAAAGATGGTTTACAAAAATATGATTCATTACTAGAGTAGTAATGAAATCATAGTAATTCATGTTCAAGTTTTGAACTTTAGTTACCACAACACTATGTTGTAGTAATGAATAGTCATATTTATGTAAATAAGTTTTATTTTAATAATATTCTCGTAAAAAACCCAAGAAAGTTTTATTATTATTATTTTTGTTATAATAATTTGTTGGATGTATGAAACCTAAGAGGATATCTAGATTCTAGCAACTGTTCAACATGGGGAGAAACAGGAAAAGGAGACGGATGTGTCATCTTATTTTAAAAATAAAATTCAATGCAAAATGTAGCAATAAGTCAAGTACTTACTGTTAAGCCAAATTTGGCAGATGGTTTGTTTGATGTCTTTTGCAATTTTTTAAGGCATATAAGACCATATGGGCATACCAAAAGGGCTATAAATTTGCTGAAATGTGACTTAGTAACTATTAGTAATTATAATTGTTTTCAAAATTTACATCATAGTCACTATATCATAGTAACTTTGAACACAATTAGTCACTAAAAATTATCAAATCACATTTTTGTCCACCACATTTCCCAGAAGTAATAATTGTGGAATTGTTTCTTATAATATATCTTAATCTTGATAATAAATTAAAGAAAATAATAACTGAAAATGAGGGTAGAAGCATAACTTTCATTCATTTCAACGACTTCATCCCAAAAAGTACATCTTACACTTTTTCTTACTATCAGTAAATCCATCCATCACAAATTCACAATCAAATAGATTCATGTTTGGTAAAAAATCTTGATGATAAAGTTTGTAAGGAGAAAAAGGTGACCAACACCGGGGAACGTAGTATCCGAGCCAAAAACAGATTCATAAATGATTTTGCATATGACATCTTTAAAACAAAACTTTTTTACATGGGTGTGTGACCTGCATTCACAGCTCATCTTGTGGTTTCTTCAAAAGATGCACTAGTCCCTTTACTAAAATAGATTAGCATTAAACTTAATTTTCCACACCCATTACTTGTAAATTCAAATTTTAAAATTTGAAAATTTCCCAAACCCAACTGGTCTTTCTACCTTCCTAATATCAATAATAATTGAATAAATACATAAAAATTTAAGCAATTTTGATCAACTTGCTATATATTATTAAAGTGTCAAAATGAGAGACTAAATTGTTCAATGTACTTATGGGTTCTGGAACAATTGCTACAACTCCACCCAAAAAACATGAACAGTTATACAAACCTGAGAAGAGAATCAGGCTGATTATTGCTATCAATATTGTCATCATTTGCAGCCTCAGGAAAAGAAAATTCCATGCATGAAAGCCCATTGGATGATGTAACACCCTCAGCGTACAATACATCAACATCTGAAGGTTCGTAATCGACTTTCAAAATATCAACAGCCTGAAAAGGAAAAATCATGTTTATCTTTGCTGGAAAATTCATTTATAATCCCTCCGACCCTAAAAACCAAGTCCTGGTTCAAACATATATTTTTTCCCAAAGAGTCCACTTTGATGCAAATGAAGCTAATATTTTATGTACTCCCTCCGTCCCGCAAAGAAGTTCCCGGTTTGACCTACACATATTGAGGAAATAAAATTACCAAGGAGGTAAATTTTACTGTTTCGACACTGTTTGACATTGTTTGACACTGTTTTGATGTAGGATAACTTTCCATTTAGGGAAAGGGGAACTTCTTTTTGGGAACTTCTTTGCGGGACGGAGGGAGTATATGTTAATAAAACTATCGAAAAAGAGTTGACAACGAAGTTACATACTTATATATGATAAGTTTAGTTAAATTAACAAAAAAAATAAAAATATAATTATGATTCATCAATTGTGATAGATGTACCTTAAATGAAATAAAAAGTTGTGTGCTGGTCAAACATGATTCTTTTGTGGAGGAAATACGCAGATACTTGGAACTGGTCCTAACTAATACTAAGATAAAGAAGCTAAGGTTCTGCATTTAAGTCGTGAACACTACATGTATATCTACCTTTTAGAGGGAGTAATCCTAATCATCTACAAATTCTTCAGAGGTTTCAGTCTAAACATTTCAAAAGCAACCAATAGTTTCTTTAGCAACTACTAAATCGGTAAAAATAAACATTTCCTACACAATGAAGGAATAACATACTAGGTCATCACATATTACCCTAAACACCACTTTTTCATTTTAAGAATCATTCTATTTAACAAAATATAACATGAGCCCTCCCCTCTATAACCCTCCATCCAAACACACCCTAAGACATTAAACATGAGTAATATAAAGGATTGTTAAAAAGAATTTTAAAAAATAATATTGATGCAATGGGAATTTGAAAAAACAGAAAAATGCTCCCCACAAAACAGTCATTGTCTTACACGCTCAAGGAAATAATTTGCAACACCGGGTAGCATTTCCAATTCACCCCTCCGTTTGTAGGTCGCCTGAATGGCAGCATCATTCCACAGCTCTTCAATTAATGGAGCATACTCCCGTGTAGCTGCTGGAAAGACAGCTTCCAAGTTACCAGAAGCCATAATCTTGAGAAGCCAATCAGAAAATGCTCTCAGTCTAGCAGGAATGGAATACAAAGTTTTCTGATCACCTCCATCAACCTTTCCTGTACTTCATCAGAAAAATAAATTAGATATATGGTGCAGGACATTACAAAAAGTATGGATGATATTTCATGGAGTTAATTAATTTGTTCTGAAATCACCTGTTTTTCTAGATTCATCAGAATGTCGTTTCATTGATAGTGCGTTTACACTTTCATCCTCAAAATGCTCGCGTCCCTCAAGAAGTATGGCAAGGTATCTATAGACATTACTCTGAATCACTGATTTGATATGTTGGCACTCATCTTCCGTGAAAGGTACATCCTTATAAAGAATCTTAGCCTACAGCATAAAAGAAATTAAGGGAACCAATTAAGCCGGTAACTTCAGCTATTTGGAGGAGAGAGAATGGAGCAGTAAAAACAAAAACTAAAATAGTCATTGAGATCTAATGTTCAGAAAAACTACCTGCTTGAATATAGTGCTTGTACCGGACCCACTATACCCAACAAGAAGTAGTTTTTGAAGTGTTCTTTGCTCCAAGTAAGCAGGTATTGATCGGTTGAGCGTGTCGGTTACTTGCTCCCCAGAAACAGAAGATGAATTTGAAGGAATTGGAAGGGAAAATATTGCACACACCAGCTTTGTTCCAGCCTAAGATGTAAGATAGATTTAATGAATGATTCGTTCGTTTTACTCTTTGAGATGTGAGGAAGAAAAACATAAAGGAATGATACACACTGTCAGCATAGAAATCCTACCTTGCCCCATATATAACCTTTTGTGTTTTTCTGTCCCTCCTCTTGGTATGACCCGTCATCGTTCACCCAAAAGTGTGGGTTGCCAGCACACTGAACTCCTGCTAACTATGATAATCAAAGTATAAGGATACAACAAATCATATATGATGTATGCATGGGGGTTTACCTTAAATTACTAAAATATAACTCATGGACAAAAAATTGACTATATAGTCACTACAGTCACTTAAGAAAATATGAACATCATCACTATAGTCCCTGTGGTAATATCATCATGGGAAAAAATGACTATATATTCACTACATTTGCTTAAGAAAATTTTAACTTGATCGCTACAATCATTGTGGAAATATCATCATGGTCACTAAAATGCAAAATTGAACATTAGTGTGTTTACAAGTGTCACTGTGAAAATAAAAGCATGGTAACTGCATAGTAAAAGTCATACTTTTGTCCATAATTAATGGAGTCAATTAATTATCAATTTTTATTACTTTGGCACTTTTGAGAGAAACTAACCCGTAACATGCGTAACTCCCCTTTCGTAATCTCACGGCCATTTATATGAACTTGAGTGTTCCCATTACTAGCATTCACCTTGATAGGACCCCCAACATTTAGATGGGCGCTAATAATCTGTGAAGGTCTTTGTCCATCCTTCAAAAACAATTAACACTCAATACAAAACTTCAAGATAAAAAACAGGAAGAGAATATAAATGAGAAAGCCTCCAAATGATATGGCTCTTACCTTTCCCCATAGACCAGAAACTTTGTCGTACCAATACTTTCCAGGTTTAAGCTTCTTGGGAGGCCTCTGGCAGCTCTGCAATGTAACAAGCTCTTCATTACAAAGTGGCCTTCCATTCACACACACATACTCTGATGGCAATTGATTCACTTCACACGTCTTTTCAGCCTTCATAATCTGTCGAGTCTCTAAGTCGTTAAGCAGACGTTTAAGCATGCGGGAGCATTTACCCAAATTTCCCCGCTTGGACTCATCAATTGGATACCCAATGCAAGCCACACACTTCCTTCCCTCGGGCATGGACCCCATGGCTCTAAGCACACACCTACTGCAATATTTTGCATCACACACTAAACAGACCTCCTTCTCAGTAAACCTGTTTCCTTTAGAGCACCTATAGCATACCCCTTTCTTCTTCGTCATCAAGCGAGGTGCTTTCTGAGGTCTGCTCACATCAGGTTCAGGTCCACTAAATTCCTCATTAATATCTTCATCATCTGACTGGATATCACAGAAAGTGACAATCGAAGCCCGCTTTGCCTCATTGTCCTGTTCAATATTACTGTCCTCAAGTTTATGAGATGAAACTCTAGAAGATGGATAATCAAAACTCATCACTGAATCATTTGAGGCCCAATCCGGTTCGCCCCCTTTACCAGTAGTAGGAAACCTCATCAGCGTCCCTGAACTTCTAGAAAATTCCCTCGACCTCTCGAAGCTACTGGAGAATCTAGACTCACCAGAGCTACCCAACCCGCCCAATAACTCATCAGAATGCTCATGGCCAGCTGAGAAAGAAGCTAGCTCAGTGGATTCATTTATCGCGCAAGAAAACTCACCTTCCCTCTCTGCCGAACTCGAGCTACTAGATTCGCCAGAGGCAACGCAATCACTACTACTCGGAACTTTGTCGTCAACGACGCCGTTGACCGAGCATGGAGACAGTGTAATCTCAGTCTCAGACGCTAAAGCTAACTCTTTGCTAGCAGACTCGTCCTCGTACCTCGTACTCTGCCGGTCAAACGCAATCACGGAGGTCGGAGAAACAGTCGAATTGGAGCTTCGCTTGAGCTCCTTGGAAAACCCTTTCGCCACATCAGAAACTGAAACGGGATGAACGACGGGCAGGGTAAATCTATGAGATATCGGCATCTGCGAAACCACTGAAGCAACTGGAATGCTGTCCACATTGATGGGTACCGCCCGAGGAAGCTCATGAGAAATGGGTGGGCCATGGTACTCCATGGCGAAGGAGTACTCCACTCCATCATCCACCGCAGTCGCCTTCGCCGGCGACATTTGGTGCCTTCTTTCAATAAAAATCAATTCTTTGGGGACCTTTACCACTCACATCATAAGAACAAACTCATTCACTCGTATTTATGAGCACCCATAGCCCAGAAAACACAGTAAATGCAAAAAAGAGAGACTGAAATCGGTGCAAGAAAGGCAGCGGGTCAAGTGAGCTAACCTAACGAGCGATGGAGATGAGATGCGTGAAGAAAAATCCAAGATTGGGGTCTGGGAGAGGAAAATGTGTTGGTAAAGTAGAAAGAGTTGGGGGAAAAACGGGCAAGAAGAGGTGGGTACAGTGTTAAAAGTCTTGGCATCTTCTTTCCTTTTCTTTTTCTTTTCCATTGAAACTTGACAATTCGGGTTGATCATTGTCCGGATCAATATATTTTAGGTGTGTGGGCCTAAGCTGAGGGATTTTGTATGTTTTAGGAAATAAATTAGGCATTTATTATTGAATGTTTTAGACAATAAACTTGGCATTTATTATTGTAGGTTTTTTAACATATTCATTATTTTGGCAACAGTCCGGAAACATAAAAGTATAAAACTGCACGCTTGGTTATTAGAAGAGCAGGTAAAAACATGCAATTGATCATTTTTTTGGGCACAAAAGAGAACTAACTATCATTAACGGCATCATTGTTTAGTACATGGGAAATAAAAATAGGAGGAAAATCAATCCAATAAATGCTATCAGACATAGAACAAGCTGCCTGCGTCAGTGCATGAGCCGCCCTGTTCGCTGATCCCCTAACGGCCCCAACATGAGAAAAAGAAATCTCAAAAAAAGAAGACCGAAGTCCTCTAATATCCCAGTCAAGATCCCTGCAAAAGAAACACTTGAGTCATCCAGAATTTCCAAAATAGCCTTAGAGTTGAACTAATATTGTATGAATTTGTTCAATTGATCATTTGATATTATTTATGTCAATAAAACTAATAAGGAGTATTGTATAAATTTGTTCATTGTCCTCGTGGACTATGAACTTCATATTCAGAGTTCGTATACCGTGCAATCAGTGCATGGTGAGCATCATGCACCCATGGTTATATCAAATGTAACTCGTGTGATTCGGAATATAACTTCAAGTTAATCAAAATGTAAATTGCACTCATTCACATCAGTGGCGGACCTAATATTTACCTTTTGAGTGTTCAAAATTACACATTTTTTCTTTAAAATGCTAATAAACAAATTATTATTCTAATTTAGATATATATATATACTCCCATTATTTTTTTATTTCTAAGTGTTCACACGAACACTTTTGATACTAAGAGATCCGCCACCGATTCACATGTAACTCATTGAAATGTAAATTGCTTTTATTGAAATGTAACTTGGGGAACAAATTAGATGTAACTTAGCATATGTAACTTTAGACTTTTGAAATGTAAAACGTTTTTACGAAGATGTAACTCCATGTATTAATATAATACACACACACACACACACACACACATATATATATATCAATAAATCATAACTTATAAGCTCGCCAAATGATTTATTAAAATGTGTATATATATATATATATATATGTATGTATGTATGTATGTGTATATATATATATATATATATATATATATATATATATATATATATGGATTGTGTACACACACAATCCATACTTGTCATTTTACGGAAAACCTGGAAAAAAAATTGACGCAGTGACATTTTCGTAATTATTATGGAGAGCTTTATAAGTTATGATTTATTGATTATAAGTTCTTATATTTAGTTTATAAGTTTACTGCGTTGTAAGATCAGATGCAAATCCAAGAGCTAAGATTACTTCTAACTTCTCATTTTAAGGGACACTTCTCACATGATCTTTTCTCTAGACAATTAATCAGTTATATTTCAATAAATTTAGTCACAACTTCTACGTATGTAAAAGTGATTCACACCGGTGGGCGTAGCTCAACTAGTAGCGAGAGAGTGCCACAAGGGTTAGGTCCCGTGTTCGAATCCAGGCAACTGCGATGAGAGGTTACTATGCTAAAAATTCATAGAGTCTTTGCAAGTACCGGGGGCGGTGCCCCACTCTCTATCTGTCAGATTGTGATTATAATCCAATTTACATCCTCTCATCATGCCGTCCGGTCGGTATTGGGAGGCCCTCAAGATAGGGTGTTATCCTTTTTAATAAAAGTGATTCATTTAAACCTCGAGCAGTTTCATATTTACACTTACCTTTGAGCACAAACTTCCCTTTTTTAAACGCATTTATTAAATCTCACCGATTCCCAAGTCTCATGCATTATTATGTTTAGGCGGCCTTCTAGAATACCGGTTTTAGGCGAAAGGTGATAAGAAATTGAGAGTATAATTTATTGGTGGTGGCCTGGTGGTTGTGGGAACCATTTGTCCTCTTCATCGTGATTATGATCAAACTTTTGTTTACTTTACACGATTTATTAATAGATCCATACATAATGAAAAGGAGGCCCTCCATTGTTTTGAGTTTGACACCCAAAAAAGTTGTGACATGTGGGGTTTGCGCATATTATGAATTGATGAACTCACGGTCTGATAAATGTTGATGTGTATTAAGGGGTGTTTGGAACTGATTCTGCTTCTGCTTCTTTTTTAAAAGCAGAAGCAGAATCAGAATCAGTTTTTAGAAGCTGGTACCCCCAGCTTCTAAAAAAACTGATTCTGAGAGTAAATTAGAGCTTCAGAAGTGCTTCTGGAATTTCACCCAAACACTCCAGCTTCTGCTTCTGCTCCTTAAAGGAGCAGAAGCAGTTTTGAGAATCAGATCCAAACACCCCCTAAGTCTCATCACTAATTAACGGAGCATCACTAATTTGAAAACGTGTCATTAAATTTCAATCTTTAGAGCACCCACAATGGTGGTGGGTTTTGACCTCACCTCTCTCTTCCACATCACTTTTCTCCAAAAACTTAATCTTCTTTAACCCATCACAATTTCTCCCCACTTTGGTGACCTAGGTCACATTTTAATTTTTACACACTCTCTCCTTATTTTTTATATATCCCACATTCCCACCTTTATTAATTTATTTAGAATATTTTCTTTAGGATTGTTTTTCAGTCTCAGACTAGACTTTCATAATTATAAAATACACACAGGCTAGACGTTACCAGACCAGACCAGACCAGATCAAACCAGATTAGACCGTACCAATAAATTTCAGTCCAAAATAAAACATCCTTAATTTGAAAAATGAATACAAAATCTACATTTGGCACACTTTAATTATTTGTTGTGCAAAAATAAAATAAAAAAGTATTTTAAAAAAAGTGTTACACCCGTTAGTAGTATTTGTCGCATAACATTACTTTACAAATTATTTAATAATGGTCTTACATGTAATTATTTATATATTGTAATCGTTAAAAAATATAACGACATAATCCAAAATAGTACAAGTTCAATTCATCATAACATCGAAGACACACGAATAGAAAAGTAAAAACGATTACATGATGTGTAAATTATTAAATGTCATTCCATTCACCACTAAATTTCTGCCAAATGTGCTCAAGTTGTTTATTAGTGTGGTGTGTATATTCCTCTCACGGATTCGAGCTCTATTATCCATATATGTAGGTAATCTCGATGGTTGAGCGGCAAAGGTATTAGTGTGTTGCGTTCTTGCATTGCTTGATGATGGCATATTAGTAGTTAAGTTATCAAGAGATACTAGGCCTTCATCGTTGTTATGCTCAATTCCTTGTTCCCAATTATCCTCTACAATCATGTTGTGCATAACAATGCAAGTCATCATTATCTTTCTGACGTGCACTTTGTCGTGTATGCACTCAAAATAATAATCAATACGACACTAATACGTAGTATAGTGTAGTAAGGTTCGTATCCATAGGGAAAGGAACACTTCTCTTTTTTATAGAAATAAATAAGTAATAACGAGTTATGTTTGGTTGATGAACTTAAATTATATTTAAGCACGAAAATGAACGAGTTATGTGGTTTAATTAATGAGAAGAAGACTTGGCTTTGCTTTTATCCACTTAATGAAATGTTCGTCGATCCCGGTTATATCTTTAACTATCTTCCTCTCGAATACTCAATCGAGGAGTATATCCAATTCATCGAGGGTAGTTATTAATAACGAGACGTGTTCATTAATAAAACTTACTATCGAGTTAATATAGAACACGCGCCGTATATTGATAGTAGCAATAAAATCAAGATGAAAACGATTGAGATTGATAACCTCAACACAAGCGGTTTATTGGTTTAATCAATATAATTAATTCCCCTTAGGTTATTAACCATGAGACGCATGCATCAACAACCCAAGTTTACTACCGTGAAAGGACCGAGTTAATAACAAGCGTATTAATCGACCGATTCTAGTATTAATTAATATATGAAACAAAACTAGTCGATCCTTTAAGTAATGCTCAAAATATTAATATGTAATAGGAATAGGAATTAATTAATATTCAAGGAAGAAGATTAAAGAAAATAACTCACAACTTACAATTCATTAAGCTTCAAAGTAGCAAAACCAACATGGAAGAGTTTAGCTCCTCATTTGGAGACTAAACATGAAGAAAATATAAAGAAAGAACTTATCTAGACTGAGCTTAGAAGTATATAGGAATTGGTATCTAATTATGAAGGAAAGGGGGTGTATTTATAGGCTTTTTTGGGGTGCAGGTCGGGTACTCGATCGAGTATATACATGTACTCGATCGAGTATGTGTAGAAACCTGAATTCAATCCATACTCGATCAAAATCAGAGTAAAATTTAGAGCCATACCCGATCGAGTATGTCGGTGTACCCGATCGGGTATAGACACTCGATCGTGGTCAAAATCTTCCCTGCATGTTCCTTTGTTTTCGGATCTGATCCGATTTGAAATTTCAACAAGATACCCGATCGAGTATAGGTGATACTCGACCGGGTAAAGACCAAAAAATCAGGAACAATTCTTTGTCTTGTGATTTTGCACCTTCCTTCCACTTTTGGGGTTCACCAACTGTCCTTTGAGTGATAGTAGACCTGTTTGAGCTCAGAATAAACCTAATCTAAACAATTTACAAGAATTTAACAAACTAAACTATTACACCAAAAGTGTGTAATTTCCGAAATAGTAAACAACCAAAACTAACTAAAACGTAAATAAACACACAGAAATTACAAGCGTATCAACTCCCCCACACTTAGTTCTTTACTCGACCTCGAGTAAAATAGAAATATCAAACATTTTAAGAGTTTTCCAAGAGTTCAAGAAAGAAAGAAACTAAGACCACCAAGGGGAAAAATGAGTGTTTACAACAACATTCTTTCTTAGGTTTAATGATCTTCTATGCTCCATCTTCTTGCCTCTTTTTCTTC